AAGTGACTGGTAACTGTACGGTATATTCCAGTGCAGCACCCTTCACAGATCACTGACTGCAATGCAATGAAGCTAATATTCAACCAGTGGCTTAAACAAATGGAGTGGAAATAAATTTATCATTTATCTGAAACAGTAAACAAAATTTGGTCACCAAAATGTCACGTTCACACACACCCACTCAAAAACAAAAGTACAAAAACTGTCCCCAGTCAGTAGACTCTTCGAAAAAGATGGTTCTCTAAAGGTTCTTGGAAAAGTAACAGTTCAGTGTCACATATTTCCCAACTTTTTGTTTTTCAAATCTGTTACTGACAAAGCACTTCATCACTGTTATTTGGAGCTCAACCATCAACACAGACTGTAAACACTCTCTCAAGATGAATGATGTCTTTCTTAAAATGTATATTTTCACTTCCAAAAAGTAATTTGTTTCCAATCATCTTTTTTTTAAGTTTAACAGAACATGACCAGCCAACACAATCGCAGCTCATAACCGATATCATTTTGATTTAGTGGCTAATTCATATTAATTTGTTTCGTTTCATTGGCAGATTTTACTCGATGGCCACTTTTCTGACAATACATAAAATACTTACATTTCCTCATGAGATTGGGCTGGACCAACTCTGTTCAGTTGAGGATTGCAATTCTTTACTTGGTAACAAAGATGTTTTGTTTTTATTCGTTTCATGAATAAATAGTCACAAAATGATTAAAGATATACAGTGCTCTGCATATATAAGTACACCCTTCACAAATCCATCTTTTAAATTCATATTTTAATAGGCTATAAGCTTTGCATTATTATATTTGTGCATATACATTAGATTAGTCAGTACAGAAGCCAAATCTGGAGCTTATCTAAAAAAATAACTTACAATTACAGTCCAAAAACTAGTACACCCAAATTTACGTTATAGAAAAATATTAAATAAAAGTTTTAAAAGTAGGAAGAATCTAGAGAAACAACAAATAGAAAAATTGAGTTTAAATTTTGTAGTTTATATATATATATATATATATATATATATATATATATATATATATATATATATATATATATATATAGATTGAATTTAATTGTATTATCCTTTAATTTCCAAATCTTTTTATTGACTAAAATATTATTTTAATACATATATCTGTTTAATAAATCTGTTTTGTTTAAATGCTCCAAAATACATTGCCTTTATTCACTGAGAAATAGACACCAATATTCGTTTTTAAAATGGGGTGTACTCAATTATACTGGGGTATATAATAGGGAGCATTATATACCAAGGCTTCACTTTGTCTTTTTAACACAGTAACTGTATCACATACTGTCCATTTTTGCTACTTTTGGTCTTCATAAACATATTTGTTTATACCTAAACAGAGAGGCACACTTGTGCAACTCATTTGTGTATTTCAGATGCTGTGAAATCTTATAACCTCTTCATCCGAACAGAAAAAATGACACTTTTTTCAAAATACACTCATAATTATAAACATAAAGGCATTATAAAGGATTGTGAAGACAATTTACTGGAACTTTTCACTGGAATTTTTTCCACCTGTTTACATAATTATTAATTAAAATATTTAGATAATAACTGCTGTTTGCACAGGGTTAGTTTTACTACAATTTCACATCAATAAAAAAATTAAGTAATGATATAAGCATTTATGTGCATTATTATGAGTGTATTTTTGCAATTAGTACAACATTTCGTTCACAAAAATTATTCTCAGCTGTCAAATTCTATTGACTTTAAATGCAGTTTTAAATGCATTGAAAGTTGTCAGTATGTAAATGTTACATCTCTACTCTTCTCGCCTCACTCCACTGGCTGCCCGCTGTGTCAGAAGAACTGATAATCTTACAGTCACTGCACTTGAGCTGTTTTTTCGTCTCTTCCAAAAGCTGCAGTCTGTGACCTAGCAATTTGTGTAAAGATGGAGTAAATAATATTATTTATTAGTGTTCTTGCCATGAAATTGGAAAACCATTGCAGGGAGAACAATGATAACATTATTTATTCATTTAATGAACACTTTCGAAACAAGTCTTCTAAAATATATAGCTCATTGCACAAAGTACCAGCTTTCCCATTGAGAATAAACCTCATTAATTGCCTTCTTGAAAATGAGTTTACACCTGTAGTTTCCAGTTTCCTCAATTAACAACTCAATATTCATATTGAAACCAGACTGTTGCTGTTATTTTCCAGGTTTTAAAATAGTCCTGCCAGCACACCATGCACTGAATCATGAATTTCTCTGATCACACACTGTTTTTTTTGTTTGTTTGTTTGTTTTTTGTTTTTTAAGTCAGACTATATGCAGCATTAATTTTAAAATTATCACAGCTTTCATGAAATAAAAATAGACAAACAGTATCAATAACAGGTGCACATAATCATTCACACATACACGCACACATGCAAGCACACAACACATGCTGGTATGGGGACTATGGATATTTGTGTGGGCAGGAAAAAGTCTATGTTATTTTTCTCTTCCTCTCTCCTTTCCTCTATCCTGCGTCTCTTTTCGTTCTCTCATTCTCTCCGGGTGTTATTTCTTTGTGGGTCTAAAGCAGAACTTTAAAATAAAAATCATAACAACACAAAATGGTTGATGTCATAGGAATATAAACATGAAAAGAGCAAGATGAAAAGACACAACCATTAAATCTCATAGTCAAGATGGAGCCCAATTTAACTGCACAAGCAAAACGATTTTGTTAATATTATTATATATTATGACATGCAGGACTGCCACTGAGCTGGATAGATTACTAAGACCTGGGGTCATCAAGTAGAGCCAATATAGAAACCACACAGCCAAATTTCACCTTAAAGCAAGTCTGCTGGAAATGCATTCAAAAATATTTAAATATTTATACTGTAGATAGATAGGCCAAAGTATCTGTATCTTTTTCAGCTTTAATTATGTTAATGTTGTCCAATAAAATGTGAATAGAGCATTCGAATTAATATACTGGCATTTTATTTGTTTAAATAGGATATTTCACAAAGTTGCAGATGATTTTTAAAAAATATATTGTGTAAAACCCTTAATTGTGTCTTTTTGACTTTAGCTTTGTACTCCTGTATGGTAAACAATCATAAAATGACTCTTCTCTACTTTCCTGTTCATTAGTGTTGAGCAGAGCACAAACTAAACCACATCTTCAAGCATTTCAAGCATTATCACTACATAGATATCATGACCAGTTACTGTTAGTTTAGTGAGTTAGTTAAACAATTTTTTTGTATTATTTGTATTGGTAAGTCATTGTAATGGAGGGTTCATAGGAAAGTGTCTGGTGCATATGGAGAGGTAAAAAGTGTGGTACATATGGTTTTTCAAGCCCACACACCTCACTTGCCTTGTCAACAACATAAAAAGTACACCAACTGATGCAATTCAAGGTCATACATCGTCTACACTGCACTAAAGCCAAGCTATAAAATCTTTCCTTGTGTCTCCCCAATGTGCGATAGATGCAAGAGAGCAGAGGACATGGTTGCTTATGCCTTTGGCTCTGTCCCTACTTAATAAATTCTGGACAAACATATTTGACTAGTACTGCAAGGCTGAAGCAGACCTTTTCAACCTGAACTTGTCATCTTTGACTTCTCACAAAAATACATCTTCTCTCCCTCAAACAATACAAGAGTATTGCAAAGCATGGTGGTGGCTAAAAGGCTAGTGCTGAACAATTGGACATCACCTTTACCCCCTTCATTCCATGATATCTGTTATTCAGATAGAGAGACTCGGATTTTTCAGGACTAGCTCCATTAGAACATTTTGGCTATAGGGTTAATTTATTGATTTATTTAACAAATCTATATCTCAAGAGCAATCCAGTGACCCCTCTGAGGTTTAGGTTATATACCCTCTCTAGTTTTGATTGTATGTTTTGTGACTATAATGCATTTTTTTGTTGTCTTTTTTCTTTTTTGGTTTTCTTTATATAGTCTTTTTTTATGTCTACAGTATGAGCCAATGTTTGTTCGTGTTCTGTGTGTGTATATTTTCATTCACTCATTTTCTTTTTGGCTTCATCTTTTTGTCATTCATTTAATTATTTGTAAAATAAAACCACATGTTTGTAGACAAGTATGAAATTAATTAGGCAAATAACATTCTAAATTCCATATGGGCTCACAATTGTTTTGTGGCCAAGTAAACAGCCTAGGGCGTACATGATATTAATGATCACAAGGTAACATTCTGTGTTTTGTTACTATTGCCGTTTTTCACTAGGATTTTACACTCATTAAATTTACATAGAAATTATGCTGTTTAAAGCTCATTGTATGTTATTTCCAAACCAATTATTCAGCTACATTCCATATTTTCATTACTAAAACGTTAGATTGCCCCGCTCTCTATAACTATATTAGTATTACTATATGCATCTCAAACTTGATTTACCAGCTTAAATGAAATTAGTTTAGTCTTTTGCTTATCATGTCATTTTCACAAACAACACTTTATAGAAAAAAAAATGACTCCATTTAAAATCAAGGCAACAAACTTCAGGACATTTTTGAATCAACCGCACTTGACTCGATTTAAGTTGAATAAACTGAAACATGTCCTAGTTTGTTGCATTAAAATTTCAAATTAAGACAATTTCTTTTTTTTTTTTTACAGTGTACTGTATGATATATGCGTCTGTAATAATAATACAAAGAAAATGTTATTTTTAATTGAGAGCTTGTCTTCTGTTTCTGTCAGAATTTCCCTGTTTTGGTAATGGCTGCTTTTCAAAGATTAAAACACGCAGTTATGTTAAAAATTCAAACTTAAATTATCAAATTGCAAGACTGATTCATTTCACTGACGTTAAGCTTAAACAGGCTGTTCTCAAAACCCTTAAAACAAGACACACACTGCTATATTTATTGTTACAGTAGGTAAGGTAAGAGACAACGTGCTGACACCTGGTGGTCATAATTCATAAATACAACGAGCAAATAAACACAGGAAACACGAGGTTGCAACTGCAAATTTTGTATTTTGCTTCATTCTAACTCTACTTTAGATTAGACAGGAAAGGCAAGCGGTTCAGAGCATAGATACATACAGAGCCAGATCCATACACGGATACAAATCCACCCAAGCCGCGCAGTGATTACCAAAAGGCATTGGAAATATAAAAATACGTCCTCCATATTTACAACCAACCGTTATCATCAGAAATATGTACAAAAAAGGGATACATGTGATACCAGCAACAATTACATTTAAAGCATAAACTCTGTCGTCATCTGGACAATTAAATTCAGCTCCATGTTTGAATGAACAGTTATGTGCAATGAAGTTTACATTTAAACATTCAGATTTACACTTCCAGTTCAACATTGTACACTAGAGAAACGTATTAATGGTTGAGATGACTGCAACAGAAGCTGTAATCAGTCATTAAATGAAGGTAGACTAGAGAAACTACACTGAATTCAGTTTCACTCTGAAAATATGATGGTACCTACATGTTTATGGCACAAATACCACGGAGTGAGTTAGAAAAAACGACAGTGACCAATTATATTATTATAAATTAATCAGGCACATAAAATGATGTCTATCAGTGGTTATCTGTACAATGAAAAAAATATTGTGGCTGATGGTAGAGAGGACGTCATGAAAAAAAATACCCAAGAAAAAATTAAACAAAGAGTTTATGATTAACAATTTGTTTCTAAACACTGATATCTAGCATTAAAAAAATGTCTCCCTTTAGAAAACTTTTTACAAAACTGCACGATCAACTTCCAGATAGGCTATCTGATGAATTTTACAGTGGTCAAACAGTTCACTCAATGAGACAGTCATTAAAATCCTATTATCAGAAGAACGTGCTTTAAATAATATCACTTTTCTTAAAGGTAACAACTGTGTGTTTTCAGATTATAACCAACGTTTTCATGTGGATGTGCAGAAGTCTGCTGGACATGGTGAAACACACACACAGGATTTGATCGCCCCTGTTCATTTTTCTCCATATATACAAAACTTTCTTTACACAGAAATAAAGATAACAGAAAACAAACTGTTTAACAGTTATGACAACAAGATCATGTAAACCTTACATCATCTTTCTATAAAAAAACACACAATAACTTTCATATTTTTTTGTGCATAAAATAAATATGCTCTTTTTTGGATGCTGCAAATACTAGAATATATTATGGATAAAATTATTAATTCAGTACAAAAGTCTCTGCCTTTTTAAAAAGTAGAAAACCAAAAATCGAATAAAACACATCAATAAACGAAAGCTGAGGATTAAGAAGGAAATACGTGGTTATGAGCATCTTAAATATGACTAGGTGAAAAAGGCACTTTAAATCAATTAGTTTTCCTAGTGCAAAACAAGTGCAATCCAGCTTAAACCTATTAGGGACCAAAACAAGCCAAAATGGCAGAGGAAGAAACTCCTGTCAAAGCAAGCTTTGCCAAGCTGCAAAGTACATCAGGCACCTGTGATTACACCTGCTGGAAAACATTCAGAGACTAAAAAAAAATCATATTAATAATAATAATAAAAGCTCTTTGGGGTCTTTTAAAGAAGGATATGTAGTAAATGGACAGTCTCATGGCAGTTTAGGAATATCAAAACAAAGACTCGTGAACTTTTCCTCCCACACTCTGTGAGTGAAGCGTTAAGTGAATTTTTGGAGCTGCAGGTCAAGTCTATCTAAAGCAGAGCAGCGTTATCAAACGCCCACATCCTCTCTTTTTCTTCTTCTCGTGGCCCTCAAACTCAGTGCTGGCTGGTGAAGGGAGTTTCAGTGTATGGATGGACACAGTCAGTTCTTAAGCTAAATGCAGGTGCTCATGAGGCTTGTTGGTTCAGGTCAGGATCTGTACGGTAGCGATGCGGGTCGAGGATCATCAGATGTCAGTGAAGGCCTGTGTGATGGAGGCTGCTCCACCTAGAGGACTTAGAAATATTCAGCTCCTCCCTCAGGATCCCGCTTTCTGATGAAGAAAAAGACGACTAGTTAGTTGCAGAAATAAATCAGTTGTATAGTTAAATCGGTTCTGATAGCACTCAAAAGTATAGGCGTGGTAAAATATTTTTAAAAGGTTGAAATGTAAAGTATGTGTTCAAAAATACTGTAAAAACAGTAATATAGTGAAATATGATGATATTTTAATGTCACGGGCGGCTCAGTGGTTAGCACTGTTGCCTTACAGTAAGCGGGTCGCTGGTTCGAGTCCCGGCAAGGGTCAGTTGGTATTTCTGTGTGGAGTTTGCATGTTCTCCCTATTTTGGCGAACATGCCTATTTTTTCCCCCACAGTCCAAAGACATGCGCTATAGATGAATTGAATAAACTAAATTGGCTGAAGTGTATGTGTGTGAATGAGAGTGTATGGATGTTTTTCAGTGCCGGGTTGCAGCTGGAAGGGCATCTGCTGTGTAAAACATATGCTGGATAAGTTGACGGTTCATTCCACTGTGGTGACCCCTGATGAATAAAGGGACTGAGCTGAAGGAAATAAAATGAATGATTTAATATAAACTTTTTTTTTTTTTTTTGAAATGTTAAAATCGAATGAATTACTTCTCGAGTGTTACACAGAAGTTCAGATATTGTTTATTTTAATCAGCTGATTTGCTACTAAGGAAGGATTTTAGATGATTAATAATGATCGAAACTATGTTAAAATTATTGTAAAAACTGTGATTAAAAGTCTTTGATGAATAGAAAGCTCAATCAACACATTTATTTGAATTATATTTATTCTTAACATTGTAAAATGATTTACTGTCACAATTAATTGAAACATTATAAAAAGCAAGAATAGGTATAAGCAAGCATTAGTAGCAAAGTCCCTCTTTGAAGGTCATATTTAAAAACACTAATAATTTAACAACATTGATCAATATAATCTTTAACAAAGCTGAAAATGAAAATCGAGTTTCTGCGTTTTTTAATGCAGACAATACAGCATAACATTAATCATTTATCAGTTGTCAGCCATAACAACAACAAGCTTATCTATAGTGACTGAATTGTACTATCAGTTACTAATATTTTATTAGTTACTAATATTCTATCAGTTACTAAATTAAAATTCTGTCATTTACTCGAAATCCTGCCCCCTGAAAACTCTCAATTCAAAACTTTGGTTCTTTTGGTTTTTAGGCACAACTGAAGATATTTTATCTTAATACTTAATCAAATCTGAGAGATTTCTGTTCCTGCACTCAAAGTCTATTCTGTCAAGAAAACTCTGAAAAAGTTATATAAAGTCTAAAAGTCAAAAAAAATATATAAAGTCTATACAAATCAAGCCGTTATCTTCTGAATGGAAGCAATAATAGGAAAAATTGTATTTCGTGCAGATAAATATTGATTGATTAACATAAAGTGAACATTAACCATACCAACCTCTGAACCCAACTATATCAACAATCATTTATTGTTTAAGTTTTAATACAATATCAGCAGCATAGGCTATATTCATGGAAACAATAATAAAAATATTCTATAAATAATTAACAAACATAACAGTTTCTAGATAATCAAACATTATAAAAACATGACAACAATACTAATAAACAACAAATAAGATTTTTCAGTTAAGTAAGTGACAAATATTATATATTTTTAAAAACATTTACCATAAAATAAGTTTTGAATAAAAACATTTTCAAATATATTTAGAAACATAAAATGTTTTATATCGACTATCAGTTCCCTCTACAATATTCATTTATTTTCCTTCAGCTTAGTCCATTTATTAATCAGGGGTCACGCCACAGTGGACTGAACCGCCAAATTATCCAGCATATGTTTCACATAGTGGATGCCCTTCCAGCTGCAACCCAGTACTAGGAAACTCTCACATGCACACACACACACACACACACTCATACAAAACAGCCAATTTAGTTTATTCAGTTCATCTATAGTGCATGTGTTTGGACTGTAGGGAAACCGGAGCACCTAGAGGAAACCCATGCAAGCATGGGGAAAACATGCAAACACCACACAGGAATGTCAACTGACCCGCCTGGGACTCACACCAGCGGCCTTCTTGCTGTAAGGCGACACTGCTAACCACTTGAGCCACCGTGCTGCCCCCCTCTGCAGTATATATCCATAATGGAATGTGTATAATAATGAACATTTATAAAATAGAATAAAATGCATCATCCGTATGCGTCTCACCTCGAGTGGTAGTGTGGTTCGGGGGGACGGAGGGGGGCCGCGGATGTGTTGCTGTAGCTTGCAGACTCCGGCTGAGCCTCGCTCAAGTACCTGCTCACAAGAGCCGAATGATCCTGCTTGTGGCTGCTGTCTTTCACGTCCTGTACATGCCGCGGCACGCCCTCCGTCCTCTCCACACTCAGCAGGCCCCTGTGGCCGTCCTCCACTGGGACGCCCTCGTCATAGAAGAGCAGGCTGCGGGAGCGGACTAAACACACACAAACACAGAACACATAGTTACTCACATGATTTACATGATCATTTATTTAGATTTAATAGAGCTGAAGAGAATCAGTTCAACTCAACCAGAGTGTTTAAAGAGATGGAAATTGTATCTGCATATCATTTCAAGGGTCTTTTACAAGGATGCATTTTTTTCACACACTGTGTCCATTAAAATGGACATCATTTTCCAGACCATGTTTTTTTGTGGTTTTTGAGCATTTCATCTAATTTAAAGCCTGCAGTCCATGAAAGTGGAAAATTGTCATCCTATCAAATTGCGATATAGCTCTGCATGTTGTTAATTGAAAAAAATCCCCTACACTGAAAAGCAGCATGGCACTGCACTCCAGACAGAGATGTAAGCCACATGTATAATGTTTTTATTTATATTTAATGAAATGTTTGACAATATTTCCAATATTTCATATTTTATGTAAAAAAAAAAAAAGAGAGACTGCACTTCCTAATTAAAGTTTAAAATCTTACATCGCAAGTTTTAAATCAAGATTTTTTCCAACATGTCTGTGTTTATTATGACCTACAACGGGTTCAAGATCTGTTACTGAAATTAAATCTCCAGTAATGCTGATGGAACTTTTTTATATAAAAAAACTGTATCGATGTACTAATACATTGCTGAAACAATTTCATATGCATAATAAACAGATCTTGAGATTCTTGAGCGTATAGCAGAGGGAAATAATACCAGTTTAATACCAGTTTGACCATCACTTAAATGTTCAATACCCACAAAGGATGAAGCCCCTTAACTGAGATGCAGCTTCTGTCATCATTTAATCATCCTTCCAAACCTATACAGTTCCTTTCTTCTGCTGAACATGAAAGAAAATATGTTGGCAACCAGTAGCCATTGACTTCCATAGTATTTTTTCCGACTATAAAAGTAAATGGCTACCAGTTATAAACATTCTTTGATCACACACTTTATTTGAAAGTACAATTCTCTCTATTAATAAACCATTAAATATGACTTTTGCCTAAATAAACTCATAATTTGCTGCTTATTAATATTTATTAAGGTAGTAGTTAGGTTGGGTGGGATTGATGTAGATTAAGATGTCTACTTTATAAACACTGATAAACAATCAATATCTTAATAATAAGCCGGTAATAAGCAGCTAGTTAACAGAACTGGCCCCTATACCGAAGTGTTACCCATTCGTCTTTTGTGTTCAGCGGAGAAAAGAAATTCCTACAGTAAATGTTTGGAATGAATTAATAGTGAGTAAAAGTTTATTTTGGCATGAACTGTCTCTTTAAGGTAGAAAGATAGAGCAAGATTTGAAGTGGGCTGCTCTCTTAGGCGAACTAGCACGCATCTTCGGTTACTACAGCAACCCTGTGGCCATCATGCACAGGCCGAGTCTGTAGGGCCCTTGTGAAAATGGATGAGGCATTTGAAGCCCCTTTTCAAGCACAGCTTTGATAGGGCCGAACGAGATGCGGCTCGGTGTGTGTTATAAAGTTGAAAGAGGATTGTAAAATCTGCTCAAAGGGAAGTAATGATTTCAATCTAAAACTCTCTGGGATGTCTGACAGTAATTTGTGGGTGAGAATGGGCACTGTCGGCCCAGGAGCTCCAGTAATAACCTTCATAAAAAAAGACGGCCTCACAATCTTCAGTCTCGTGGGTAGGGAGGGGGGCGGGGGGATGAAATAAGACGCACAGCTATTATCTGACTGGATAATTTAATGTGTCTGAAAGCCGAATGACCTACAAGTAGATGTTGATTTTGCGCATACAAAGGGGATGTAATCAAATCATGCATTGTATACAGTGAAGGTGATGATTTGGATGGACACATTAAATTAGGGCAGGGGTGAAACGTACCCTGGCTGGTGGTGTAGAGGTCACCTGAGGGCAGCGGTGCAGACTTCACCGTGTGTGAGGATGATGAGGATAAGGAGGAAGAGTAGAGGGAGAGCTCGGGCAGGCAGGGGGCCAACGAGCCCAGCACCAACACAAAACACAGCGCCACCACCTGACCAGGAGGAGGAACCACACACACGGTGAACACACCGCCCCACTCACCTGCCTTTACATACATAAAAGCTAAACTTAGGGCCAGACTTAACCAATAAGTGAGGTAAGCAACTGCTGAGGGTCATGGGGAATTAGAGGGCCCCGACCAATGCCAAGAAGTCTATATTAATCATAAAGCTCTTTTGACAATTTTCTATAATATATTGTTAAATCTGTCTATGACCGTTAAGAGTAGTAGGGTCTAAAATAACATTGCTTAGTGAAAACTAACAGCTGCCGATTCACAGAAATTGTTCAGTTAATTTAGTTTGACAGATCTTGAATTAAATATTAATTATTAAATACTTTTTTTTATTTATATCAAAATCTATTCACAAAAATGGCTAATTTACTTTAAATAGATACAAATTTGTTAGTTAAAACTTGTTTTTATTTGTGAATGCATTGCATTTAAGTTTATATTAAGAAGATAAAGGTTCTGTTAAATAGTTTTTATATATTTTTGATATATATATTTATATTTATTTAAAAACTTTTTATTTACAATATTGATAAAAATCTACAGAGAAAAATATTAATAGAGAAAGAGAATGTTTTAAGTTTCAATGCTAGGCCCCAAACCCAGAATTGCTTAGGAAATCACTAAGTCCACCCCTCTACAGAGACAAGGTGTTTCATTAAAGTCTTAGTTCAGCACAAACATGATAATTTTGTCATTTAGTCAAAATCGTGTCATTTAGAAGACTTTGCTTCATCATTGGTACACAAATTGAAGATTTTTTTTAATCAAATCTGAGAGATTTCTGTTCCTCCACTCAAAGTCTATTCATTCAACTCCTGAAATAGTCAATAAAAAGATCTTAAAATAAAATTCCATACAAATCAAACGTGATAAACAGATTTAATTTAGGATTTTATTTGCAAATAAACATTGATTGATTAACATAAAGAGAACTACACTGAACTACACTGAAAAATCTATTCAATTGATTTATTATTTAAGGTAAGTGGTTGCAAATTATGTATATGGGCTGAATTTAAACAAACAAATTAAGTTGAACGTTACTAAATGAAAATGTTTGATTAAATTCAGCCCATGTAAACTTTGGTTTGCAATCACATTCCTTAAAAAAATTAGTAAATCCAATGAATCATATTTTTTCATTGTATACATTTAAAATGTAGTTTTTTTTAAACCCTTATTTGGTTATAACACAGACCAGGGGTTCCCAAAGTTTTCAGCATATGACCGCCAAAATAACAATGTCAACCCTCATTATCCTCAGAGGTGGTTATAAACAAACTAATGTTAAACATAAATACCAATAAGCCTATATAAACACAAGCATACTGACAACACAAAAAATTCCATTTATGTTTTATAGGAATTTATGAATTTGTTTAATTTCAACATGATAAGGACTAATAAGAAAGAACGGCACAATGTTTGGAACACATCAAGTATATTATTGATTTATTTTAGAGATAGCCACTCTGAGATAATCCTCCACATTCAGTTATGATCTGTATTTCTTTATAATGGGTTTTCCTTTTATAAATTGCTATAAATTTATAATATGTATGAGAGTGCCAAAATAAGTGTCAGAAAGCTTATCACAGTGCTTAAAAAATGTATCTGCTGCAACTAATGTTATTACTGTCATGTTAATTTAACGTAATCCCTCCAGAGTCAAAATTCTATGGGAAATAAAATCTAATGGTTGATTATTTTTGTGCACATTTTTTTTGTAGGATATGGATAAAATACGGTACTACTAATAGTTTATTATTATTTATTTGATTTTTAGAATACACCAAGCCCACAATACCCACTCACTGTTGTGTTGTGAGGTCCCGACCAACTCAGTTGAGTTGAATTGGGTTCAATTGTTAAAATAAAATTTACAACCCATCTGTTTGGTTGGTCCATAATTTAGTTCCATATTTATTGATTCTTAAACATTAGGAATAAACCTCATCAGTTCCCAAGCCACATAAAATGCATTATCATATCTGATTAGTGTAAACATTGTTAGCCGATCAGTGCCAATCAAATTCAATCTGTTCATCCAATAAAGCAATCATGTCTCTCAAAAGAGCACTTGAAACCACTCAATTTATTTTTTGATCTCTTCATTAATGTTTTGAAGCATTTGAGCATTGAGAGGGAGAGTAATTTCCAAGATTTGATTAAAAATATCATCATTTGTGTTCTGAAAATGGACAAAAGCTTTATAAATTTTGACACAATTCTCATTTGATGGTAAACTAACCCTTTAATAGTAGTTTGTTAGAAAGAAAGAAGCAAGAAAATATAAAATAAATGCTAGTGTTTTGCTGTAAATGTGTGTATGCACTGTATATGTGAGTGTGTATTCACCATGAGGCAGGTTCCGGTCTGTGTTGAGGCGATCTTGCAGGATCGAGGCACTTTCCCGCTCACTAGAGCCTGCAGTCTTTGTAGCTGCTGAAGTAGAGACCTGCGGATCACACAGAAACATTAGAATGATTAGTAAAGGCTTTAGATCAGGGTGTAGGCAGCATATTTGTCTGCAGGCTATGTGCGTTCTGCTCTGAGCCGTTTTGTAACAGCAGGATCTTCTTTTTTAAGCTTCAAGAGCATGCGAGGATAATACAGTTCTTACTCACTATAAGTGTTACATAAACTGAACTCCTCTTCAGTCTCTCGCACACAAACACACTTCACCTCCTCCTTGATCGCTGCTGCATGTGTGTGGTGGGTGTTAATTTATTTGCACATCAATTACTTGCTTCTTCAGAAGCCAATCAGACATAGGCTTCCTCACTTGGATCACACTTTCTGATGTGACCCAAAACAAGCGTAGTCACTCAAATGCAATACTTGGAACCACAGAATTTGTGAATATGGCATACTATATATATCCTCTTTGCAGTATGTGCACCATATGCCAACTTTCCGCACGCCTGATTTACCTGGATGACCTAGTATATTTGAAGAGTTCAGATGCAAAAACCGCCTGAAATTTCCATTGAAAATTAGCATTTTTCTCAGACTCCTTTGTTTATGTTGAGTTATTTTACTTTAAAGACCATGGAAAAGTTGTATTCTTTGCCATTAAAGTAAAATTACTGAACCTATAGACAGTAGCCTGATAAAAATGCTAATTTTAAGAAAGAATATTTCAGATGGCATATAGAGGTTTTTGCACCTGAACTCTTCATTTGTAGAAATCTGATGATGACAGTAAATAATATTTGACTAGATATTTTTCAAGACACTTCTATACAGCTTATAGTGACATTTAAAGGCTTAACTAGGTTAATTAGGTTAACTAGACAGGTTAGGGTATATTAGACAAGTTATTGTATAACAATGGTTTGTTCTGTAGACTATCGAAAAATAGCTTAAAGGGGCTAATAATATTGACCTCAAAATGGCTTTTAAAAATTTTAAAAATGCTTGTATTTTAGCAAAAATAAAACAAATAAGACTTTCTCCAGAAGAAAAATATATTATCAGACGTACTGTGAAAATTTCCCTGCTCGGTTACACATCATTTAGGAAATATTTAAAAATAAAAAGAAAATTCAAAGGGGGGTTAATAATTCTGACTTCAATTGTATATAAGATATTATATATAACTAACTTTATTAAATTTAGAATAGTTTTGTTATTTTTGTAATTAGTAATGTCAACCAACAACGTATTGGAAAAAAATGCAACAAACTTTAAGAGGTTTTAAATAAACAGAAGCATAGTGTAGTGTACTTTGTGATCATGCTTGGTCTTACTTTGTGGCTGTTAAAACCATCACATCAAATCTGTAGCTCTTTTATGAAATGGTAGTAAATCACATTTTAAATCGCAAATCGCAATTTTGATCAGAAACTGCCATTAGATTTTTTCTCCAGATCGTGCAGCCCTAAATTTCTGGCTTATAAATATAGTGCTCAGCATATATAAGTATTCCTCACAAATCTATCTTTTAAAATGTATATTTTTAATAGGCTATAAGGTGTACAATAATATATTTGTGCATATACATTAAATAAGTCAGTACTAAAGCCAAATCTGGATATTATCTAACAAAATAACTTACAATAACGGTCCAAAAACTAGTACACCTAATTTTATGTAATAGAAAAATATTCATCGTTCATTCATTTTTTTGTCGGCTTAGTCCCTTTATTAATCCGGGGTCGCCACAGCGGAATGAACCGCCAACTCATCCAGCAAGTTTTTACACAGCGGATGCCCTTCCAGCCGCAACCCATCTCTGGGAAACATCCACACACTACGGACAATTTAGCCTACCCAATTCACCTGTACCGCATGTCTTTGGACTGTATGGGAAACCGGAGCACCCGGAAGAAACCCATGCGAAGGCAGGGAGAACATGCAAACTCCACACAGAAACGCCAACTGAGCCGAGGCTCGAACCAGCGACCCAGCGACCTTCTTGCTGTGAGGCGACAGCACTACCTACTGCGCCACTGCTTCGCCCATAGAAAAATATTAAATATAAATTTTAAAAAAAGAGAGAGAAAAAATCAAAAGCAGCGAAAAAATGGAAACATTTAGTTAGGCTATCATTTCTTTTTTTTTTTTTTTGCAGTATTTTGCTTGAATTTAATTGTATTATCTTTTAGTTTCTAAATATGTTTTGCGACTTAAATGTTATTTTAATAAATCTATCTATTTAACAGTTCTGTTCTGTTTAAATGCACCAAAATTAACTGCCTATATTTACTGAGAAATTTATAAAAATATCCATTTTTAAAATGGCCTGTACTCTATTGCTGAGCACTGTGTGCCACATTTTGATAGTTAGAGTCAGTAATTTTGCTGTTTTTCAGTTAAAAGTTTGTGTAGCTGGTTTAAAAATAAAATACAGAATAAATTATTCAAACATTAAAAATGAGGCAAACATGGTCACCTTTATTTTTATTTCTATTTTAAAAGAAATATGCCTGATTCTACAAACTGACAATGTGCTCCCTCTAGTGGAAGAACGAAGTTTCAACAACATATAAAGCAGCCATCCTCCACCACCAGAGAGAGCTATTGCAACATTTTAGAGAACAACCCAAACCGACTACTTCACCGTTACATCATTTCACAGACTCTCCTATCGAAAACTACATACAGTGCACTTATACCAGAGACAGTCCCCCCTGGACCCCTGGAATTAAGTGCTTTTCCACTTGGCTAAAACACCCCAAAACAAACCTGTCTATTAGATCTCAGAGAAACACACATGCATAAACACTCATAATAAGTACTGTAGACTAGTCTGTCTCTACAACAGTATGATTTCAGGGGTAAGAGGGGCTCAGACCGCCCTACTAACCTAGCAATAATCATCTCAATTTGATCATATAAACAGTGGTTTTCTTCAGATTAATATACAACCCACCCAGCAACACACAAACAAAAACTCCCCCCCGCTGTCTCTTTGAATTCTCTCAAATAAGTCAGAAGGCTCTATCCTAATAAGAATCGGCAGAGCGCCAACACACACAGTCTCTTTATCCTGTAATGAGGGGCAGGCAGGCACCGTGCTGCGTGCTACTTTAAGTGTGTTGTTAATAAGGGCCTGAGCCAATCCTCTATAAAAAGGCTTTTCTAAAACACTTACACACTTACACGTGCCTACACACTTACATACTTCATACAATGTTTGGTACTTCAAAAAAATCCTTAAGTAGGCATTTTAAAGAGCCACTATTTTCTAAGCGTGGCTAAAAATTTGAATAATCTAAAGCAACGTATGTGGAGCGGAAAGAGATTAAAGGTTCTTCATGGAACCATCAATGCCAATAAATAACTAGAAGAGTTTGAAGAGTATGAAATAATAAATCAACAACCTTAACTGGATAGAATATTGTAGTATATAGCACATGGAGTTATATTGAATAATTATTTTGATACATGATACACAAATGCACTTTAAAACATAATTTTCATCAAAGCTATAGGTAGTTAAAGGTGTCATGGTGCCGTAATATGTAGCACGATCGCCTCACAGCAAGAGGGTTGCTGGTTTGAACCCCGGCTGGGTCAGTTGATATTTCTGTGTGGAGTTTGCATATTCTCCCCGTGTTGGCATGGGTTTCCTCTGGGTGCTCCGGTTTCCCTCAACAGTCCAAAGACATGGGCTATAGGTGAATTGATTAAGCTAAATTGGGTGTTTGAGTGTATGGGTGTTTCCCGGTGTTGGATTGTTGCTGAAAGGGCATCCGCTGAGTAAAACATATGCTGGATAAGTTGGCGGTTCATTCCGCTGTTAAATTTGACCCTGGACCACAAAACCATTCATAAGCGTAATTTGAGATTTATACGAAATTTATTATTTAAAAGATGAATAAAAACTTATCATCGCTTTGTTATGATAGGACGTCATTTGGCAGAGATATAACTATTTGAAAATCTGGAATCTGGGGTTCACAAAAAATGTTGAATAAAAAACTCACAAAGTAACCTTTAAATATTTCTAAATAAAGTGCTCAGTGATTGAGTATTTATATTATATCTTATATACAGCAGGACATTTACAAAGTATCTTCATGGAACATGATCTTTATTTAATATTCTTTTGATTTTTGGCGTAAAAGAAAAACGTATCATTTTGACCAATACAGGTTATTTTAAACTAAAGCTAAAAATATAGCTGTGCTGTTGGGATGATGTGCAGAATGTTATTTCTGAGGTGTTTGGATACACTATTTTTGTTTATGGGAGATATTAAGTACACTGTCCCCAGAGGTGACCAATTTTTTGTGTAAGATTCTTCTTGTGGCGTGCAAAAAGACTATAACTAGGCACACATGAAATCTGCACGTGCAGATATCCGCAGATTTTTAGCTCATCATTGAGTCTATTTATTTACTTGTTATAAATGTGTGTAAATGTACATTTATATATATAATGTACATATATATATATAATTTAATTCAGTTTAATTCAGTTTTTAAATTAATTTTAATTTAATATTTTTGGCTAATATGAAAGTGTTCAATTGATTTATTTACAATACAGTTTGTAAAGTTATATTTTCTGTATTTTAGTATATATATTATAGTTGAACTCAGAATTATTAAACCCCCTCAATTATTAGCAACCCTGTTTATTTTTTCCTCAATTTCTGTTCAACAGAGAGAAGATTTTTTTCAACAAATTTCTAAACTTAATAGTTTTAATAACTCATCTCGAATAACTGATTTATTTTATCTTTGTCATGATGACAGTAAATAATATTTGACTAGATATTTTTCAAGACACTTCTATACAGCCTACTACATTTAAAGGTTTAACTAGGGTTAATTAGGTTAACTGGGCAAGCTAGGTTAATTAGGCAAGTTATTGTATGATGATGGTTTGTTTTGTAGACCAGGGGTTCCCAAACTTTTCAGCCTACGACCCCCAAAGTGACAATGCCAGTGACTCGCGACCCCCAATATCCTCTGAGGTGGTTATAAATACAGTCGTTATATATGCAATGGCGCACACACACCAGTAAACCCAAATCTATTTTTCAATTAATTTTTTTTATGTATGTGAGTTCTGTAAATGAGCCAGAAAATTTAACCTGGTATTATTAAATCAGTCTGTTGCATCTGATAGTATTGCTGTGTTTTTAATATAATGTAGTTACTCTAGGGGTCACAATCCAATAGAACTAGTAACTATAAGCTACTATAGTAACTATAAACGACCATTTTTTCTCTTCATATAAAATATGGTAATTCTTATGGTTTAATAAAATAAATAAATTTTTAGAAATCACCAGGCGAACTCCCTTAATTGTCCCATGACCCCTCGGGGGATCCCGACCCCCACTTTGAGAACCACTGCTGTAGACTATCGAAAAAAATATAGCTTAATGGGGCTAATAATATTGACCTTAAAATAGTTTTTTAAAAAATTCATAACTGCTTTTATTCTAGCCGAAATAAAACAAATAAGACTTTTCTCAGAATAAAAAATATTATCAGACATACTGTGAAAATTTTCTTGCTCGGTAAATATCATTTGAGAAATATTTAAAAAAGAAAACAAAAATTTAAGAGAGGTTTGATAAATCTGAATACTCAAAACCGTCTACTCAAACATTTAGGAGAATTACTGTTCACAGAGACACAAAGAAATGTTTTTTCCTTAATGTATTTCCTCAAAGTGTTTTAGTAAACCTTAAACATTTGAAATTTACAATCGCATAGTTTCATAATGATAAATTTCATGTTTATTTTACAGTGTGGAAATGCACAGACAATTGCTGTCTGCCAGGGGGATGACCAACGATGAGGACTTCAGCATTGTCTTGGAGGATGAGCAAGTCATGGCTGGCTTGTAAAATCTAGATTTGCTGAACTGGATTTATACTAATATTACGCAAATTAAAATGACCCAAAAACAAACTTACATTAAGTTTCTGACAAAAATTCCCTACTACAACCTTGTGGAGAAATTTCACTGCATTGACTGATTGATTGATTATGTTGCTAACATTTTGAGATACAGCAATACACAATTTCTGTCAGATTTTGTCTAAGATGTGACTTTTCCTACAAAGGAAAAGCCAGACAAAACATTTTTTTCCATCATATGGATAAAGAACTTTTTTCAAAGCTTAACATTGCTGTTATCAGTGGAACATGTAATAAAACGATATTTGGCAAAACTGCATTTTGTAAGTATCTCATTATAAAATATATATTTGACAATTTATGAATAAGTAATTTTCATTAATAAATATGAGTAAGTGGTGATTGATTTGCTTATATTACAAATTCTACTAATAATATTAAAATCATCATCTATCACTCAAAAATGTAGTAATTTTCACATGATTTAAGTATTTTTTGCTAAAAGAAAATCAAGTCTTGATACTACTTAAAAATAACACGGGCAATAGTGTTACCATTATATTTTAAAGTAAATAGCACATAAGATTTCTTACAGTGGAACTTAAGACTGCTTTTGTGGTCCAGGGTCACATATGAAAGTCAGCAAGCTTCAGAAAACACCCAATCTTTCATTCTACAGATAAAACAAATCTAAAACATAACTAAGCATAATTTTATGTTCCAAAAAAGAAGAAAAATTCCTCCAGATTTTTCGTTTTTCATTTTAAATGAACTACCCCTTAAGAGCTTTCGCCTCCAATGAGCTACAGTTAATCCACAAAAAAAGTGCTGACTTTGATAACACCCAATCCCCCACGGTGCCCTCTCTTCTGTCTCTCTAAACAGTAGGAACAGACAGCAGCCTGTCGACAGCGCCAATACTCTAAGCAGGCCACCCAGGAGAGAATGAAAAGGTGCTGCTCTATATGATCGGAAGGGGAGGTTAAGACCTGCACGCATCTGGATCAACTTAACAACACCTGCTGACTGCAAAGACCCGCACACTTACCGCAAATACAGCCACACTTAAATGTATTAAAATCCACCTATAAAGTATTCGCCGTGATTAAACACGAGCACACATGTGCTTCCTCACCTGTTGGCATTTTCAAGCGTCTCAACTTTCTTCCAGAGTTCATTGTTCTCTGAAGTGTAGTTCTCCACTCTGAAGAGGAGTAAAAGAGAAAGAGTGTGTTATTGCGCACGGTCACATTGAGATGCATTTACAAAAACGTTTCCATAAGTATGACCACATATAAGCAAGAAAAGCCAGTGTGTGAGTGTGTCCAGTGTGAGTCCAGTCTCTCCAGCACATTATCCAAACCCTGAGAGCCTAACAGCAGCACAAAAGGGAAAATGACTCATGCAAACGCGCGCAAACACACACACACATACACCAATGAGTGCATGGACTGTAGCCATTGGCCATATTCACACAATAAAAGCCATAAAACAGCTAGAAGGGTATAGCGCATTTTGAGGGTATGCTGGGGTGAGAATGACGAGAGGATTAAAGGAGAGGAGGTCATCGAAGAGAACGAAGGATGAAGGCACAGAGAGAGTGGATGCTGTTGGATAAACAAAGCAAAAGAGAGGAAGGGAAAATAAGAGCAGAGGAGAAAAGGACAGCAGTCAGAATGCAGGAGAGAGAGAGAAAAGAGGTAGAGAACAAAGCATTTAAGAGAGAGAGAGAGATAATAGAGTGGAATTACTTCTTCTCCAAACACTCCACATATTCCTTCTTCTTCCTGCGGCTTTCCTGTGCAGAGATCTAAGAAAAGAATGTAAAAAATATTATAATGAGCGTAAATATATTATTCATATATTAATACAGTGGCTAGAGTAAGTATTGAACAGCTCATGATTTTACTTGGTATACAGTGCTCAGCATAAATGAAAATAAATATACTTTTATGCAGTTCTCAGTGAATGTAGACAATATATTTTAAGGAATTAATAGCAGTTTCATCAAACAGTTATATCAATTAAAATAAGAGTTGGTAACTGAATATCCTTAGGAATAGAAAGTTAATAAATTTAAAATCAAATTAGTGGGAAAAAAATGCTATATAATAATTTAATTGTATATTATTCTGTATATTATTTACAGTGCTTAGCATAAATGAATACACTCCATTTTGAAAATGAATATTTTTATCCATTTATCTGTGAATATGGGTAATATTGGTGCATTTAAACAAAACAGATTTATTAAACAGATACATTTGTTAAAATAATACTTTAGTCACCAAACATCTTTAAAAATGGAATGATGATACAATAAATTCATGCAAAATATAAAAAAAAAATTACAAACTAACAACATTTTAACAAAATTGCATACATTTTTTGTTTATCTTGATTTGTTTCTGTTTTTGAAAATTCATTCATTCATTAATTTTCTTTTCAGCTTTTTTTTAGCCTTTATTAATCCGGGGTCGCCACAACGGAATGAACCGCCAACTTATCCAGCAAGTTTTTACACAGCGGATGCCCGTTCAGCCGTAACCCATCCCTGAATAACCAAGATTTGGCTTCAGTACTGACTAATCTAATGTATTTGCATAAATATAATATTGTACAGCTTCCTAGAAAATATAAATATGTACTTATATATGCTAAGCACTGTATATATATTTCTAACATATTAATTTGGGTGTACCAATATTTTGACTAATCTTAAGTTTTTTTGTTAGAATTGTTCAAGTTTCAGAAAAATATTTTAGAAAAAAATTGATTCATAAGAGAGATCTGTGAGGGGTGTACTTGTTTATGCTCACTGTTTATATTTCTAAAGGAGCTGTTCACATGAAATTGACCCAGATTTTGGTTTAAAAAATGTTAAAAACACCCAAACATACAAGTAATGCAAAAAAAAATCTTTAAAAAGTGTTATGTGTAAAAACATGGAATGGCAAAAGGAGAAAGTAATGAACTACTGAAATATATTGAATATTTTGCATAAAAGGCTTTTTTGTTAGTGGTAGCTTTGGAGAATTTTGCATTCTTCAGGTGTGATTTTCACACTTCAATAGACTTTCTACTAACTACTGAGAGAATTCATCTGCTATCTGGGCTTTCCATTCCTTTTTCCACCTCTATTTCTTCATGTGTTCAATATTTTATATACAATTATATGTATATATTAACCAAATAAAATTTCATATTAACATCAAAAGTACTGTAGGATTTTTTTCTTTGATCCATAAATTATTTCCATATACAGGAAATTTTCACAGTATGTCTGATAATATTTTTTCTTCTGGAGAAATTCTTATTTGTTTTATTTCGGCTAAAATAAAAGCAGTTTTAATTTTTTAAATCCATTTTAATTACTAGCCCCATTAAGCAAATTTTTTTCGATAGTCTACAGAACAAACCATCGTTATATATAACTTGCCTAATTACTCTAACCTGTCTAGTTCACCTAATTAACCTAGTTAGGCCTTTAAATGTCACTTTAAGCTGTATAGAATTGTCTTAAAAAATATTTAGTCAAATATTATTTACTGTCATCATGGCAAAGATAAAATCAATCAGTTATTAGATAAGAGTTATTAAAACTATTACGTTTAGAAATGTGCTGAAAAAATCTTCTCTCCGCTAAACAGAAATTGGAGAAAAAAATAAACAGGGGGGCTAATAATTCTGACTTCAACTGTATATGCACAAAACTTATATAATAAGAGACTTGTTTTAATAACCAAGTTATTTCAATATTAATAGTATGTAATCATTATCAATACCTTATTTTTGATTTTCCTGCGCACCCGTTTGAGTGCTTTCTCTTCGGTTTTGGTGAGCGGTAGTTTGTTGGGGACAGGATATCCCTCAGCGATCAAAGTCCTCTTTTCTTCCTCTGTCAGCATCAAAGGGCCTGATGTTCCCTGCAGCTTCTGCATTTCAACACAAGACAGAGTTTCACTTTAAATAGAACTGCTTAAGACGTAACTGTATGCAAATTTCCATTAGGAATATATGTGTATATAGTGTGGTGTGTCATGTGCCGCATTGATTAGCACTCACGTGCGGGGCGGTGAGGAGAGGGGATGAGGAGATAGCAGTGGAGGTCCGGGCCTGTAGCCGGGCAGGGCTGGAGGGTGGCAGTGAATGTGGGCTCTGCAGGTGGCCAGGGCTTAATGGTGGCAGTGAATGTGGGCTCTGGGATCCATCACTGTCGCTGCCATGGCTGCTGGGAGGAGTTGGCGGCAACCGCAAATGCTCTTCTGTTGGGACACACAGATAATCTTGATACAGCTGAAAGTACAAAACCTGAGCATCTTAAAGAGATAGTTTCTCAAAAATTAAAATTCCATCATCATTTACCTAATCTTGACATGTTTCAAATCACTAAACAAAAAAGAAGATATTTTGAAAAATGTTGGAAATCTTTAACCTTTCACTTCCACAAAAGAAATTAAATTACTATGGCGGTCAATGGTTACAGATTTCCAACATTCTTTAAAATATCTTATTTTCTGTTCAACAGAACACCATAAACTCTGATTTGGTCAATCAAGGGTGAGTAAATGAAGACCACCCCTTTAAATAATCAGGTTTAATTTTCTATGCCTACACATACAATGGCAAACTCAAACAAAATAGTCAAAGTTAAAAAGGGCAATGAATCTTTTGAGGCTGAAGTGTAAAACTGAAACTCCATTCACCTGTCACCAGGATAAAAGCCAATGAAACCTAATCTACTGGGTAGCTTTTGGTCATTTCGCACACAGCACATGCATGCTTTTAAATGTGGTGAGTGTTGGACTCGCTGTGTGTTTGGTCTGGCGGTGTCCCAGCATACACACAGCATTGCAATAAAGCTGTTGTTTCTGGATGAGCAGGATGAAAGAATGCTGCAGTGACAGACAGACAGCACACACACAACACCTGCAGGTGTTACAGGTTGCTTGCCATTAGCAGATTTATCATATTAAATGATGTACAGAACAGTCCAGGAGCAATCACACTAGGGAAAGTAACAGTTATCTTTGAGTTTTTAGTAGTAGAGCGGTAAAGCAGGGTTTAATTTGAACATGCAAATGTAGTATTATCAGTTTAGGTTTGTTAAAAAAATTCTGGAACCAACAATAGCAAACATTATTGATTCAATACCAGTGCAGTGTTCTGTTTAATGTCATAATCAGCACATTATTTGCATTGTCTGTAACCAAGTTTAGGGTAAAATGTTTAAGCTATTTTTGAACATTTTATTAATCAGAATAACATTACAAAATGTATCACATTTTTCGCAAAACATAATAAAAACAATAATAATAATAAAATGACGCTTTTTGGGTGCATCAAATGTGCGTTACAATGTTTTTTCCAAAGCATCGTGTGACACTGATGACAGAAGTCATGATGCTGATTGCATGTCAGATAACTAAATAACATTCATTCATTTTGTAATACCAACTGCACCACCGTGATACCCCAAATTAATTTTTTTTTAATGAAAATGTTATTGATGTTATTGATCATTCCACAGTGGTGACGCCAGATTAATAAAGGGACTAAGCCGAACAGAAAATGAATGAATAATTGAACATAATTCAGAATTTAACTGTTTTGTTATTATTGTTATTATGTTATTATTATGTTATTATTGTTATTATTTTTTATTTAATGTTGAGGGGGAAATTTATTTTAAAAACATTTTGACATATAATATTTTCAATACACATATAATATGTTAAAAACCAACACTCGCATAAAGTATTTCACTGTATGCCATATAAGCTACAATGGGAGCTCAAAGCTTACGTCAGATCCTGTTTTCATCAATGGGCCATTCAGAAAAGGCTAAAGTTGAGATCTGAGAGATTGTTAAACACATGCAAAAGTTAAATAAAGAAACACTCACACTAAGCCTCATTTCCTCTGGAAAAGGAACACACCATTAGAGTATTTATAACCCTGAAATGACCTTAGAGCGAGGGAACGGCATAAAAGACAGCTAATTTGCTTCGATTTGCCAACATTAAACCAGAATGAAAAACCTTCACCGACCATCTAGCATTTAAGTTGAGGGCTACTGTGCATGCTTTTATTATTTTATATGAAGGACAGCCATGTTGAAAAGTGCACAGGGTTGCTTGTATGCCAGTGTCTCTGTCCACTGCCAGACACAGTTTAATCAAACAGCACATCATAAAGAGATTAAAAGCAAGACTAAAGATTGTGTCTACACCCACCTGAGGGCACGTTGAGGAACTGGTTCGCCTCGCGGGGCTCAGCTTTGATTGCAGGAACAGAGTTTGAGCTCAGGCCTTTGGAGCCCTAACAGAACAGTGACACAATCATTAACATCAACATTAAACGTTCATTTATTTCTAAATGCCTTTCTTCAAAATAAATCATTAAACAACCAGTATTAAAAAAAGGCATCACAGTGGGGAAGTCAAATGTAATTCTTATTGATTATAACATTAAATCACAAAACAGATATTTATAGAGGGAAACATACGGCCTGTGCTTCCTCAATGCACTTTACAGCAATACTGAACATGGCACTGAGACACCAGTCAGTTTTATCTAAAAGCTTTTGATGATATCAGACTGAAGCGGTCTGTAGTAGTAGTGGAAGATATTTGATAGTTCTGAACTGTTAGGTTACTGGACTAAATGTGCTCCATGCTGGATGTCTGAGACAGTAAACACAGCTGAAGGCAGACTCAAACTGTTTACACTGACAGAGCAAAGGCAACCCGCCTGCTAACCACACACAGTCTGGCCAGCGACCAACCATCAAGCACAAAGAGAGGTGACATGAGTCTCAGATCAGAGGAGCTGCTGTACCCTTCACTTCACACCACCCGCTCAATATTTTCTGGGCCAGTGGACGGTGTTCCCCACCAACTCAAGCTGGTAAAGAAAAAAAAAGACTACACATAAACTGTAAAATGCATCAGACCTAGTTTAGAAATTGTCAGAGTTTTTAAAAACCTGCAGTGCTTTAAGTCACGACTCTTTACAATCTGGTTTCTTCTTTATTAAGTGTCCTTAAGTGTATTCAGAGACTGAACAGAATCACGAGTTCTTTTGATTTGCTATTAATAAGCAGACAACACTGGAACTGCGAGTGTGAGCTTGCTACTGTATAACAGTTCAATAAATAAGCTGTTATTAGGAAATTTATAGTTTAGATTTATAGTATATCAGCAACTTATAGTATATCTATTTCAGGTCAGCCAAATAAAAAAGTTTAAAAGTATTATGATTAACTTCCAAAGCCAAAAAAGTGGTTCAATGGCTATGTTTCCATCTTAAAATGTGAATGAACTTTATGCGCAAAACTGGATTATCGCATAAAAGAAGTGCAAATAAAAAAGCGTTTCCATCCAATGAGTCAAAGCAAACAAAATCATCACTTCCTTAATAACTGGCGCCCAATATCAACAGTAAAAACTGAATTTGCTGCAGCAGGAGAAGCTGCATCAATATTTTCTTCATCTAATAAATCACTTGCGCCTCAGAAGGCAATCCTGACATGCAGTGAACACGCGGTGGCGTTTGAAGGTGTCAGACGCGGAGCACAGATGCTCTTGATTCTGGAGGTCATTAATAATATAATAACACTAATACTTAAATGGTAAGGCGTTTTAGAATGACCAAAACAACCGTTCAGATGGTTTACAGAGTGCTCAGCTTGCTGTTTTGTCTATTCACGCACATTTTCATTATTACATGATCTCTTATCAAAAAATCTCATGACCTTTTTTGATGCGCATACTGAAATTTGTGCGATAAAAGTGCAAATGCAAGTTGCTAAATGGACTACATCAAAAGAAGCAAGCATGGCTGACAATACTGATGACACTGTAAGCTGCTCAAATGTTTACGTTTGTTTAATTTGCATTTGCAAATTAAAAACCACCCTGATTTTTATAACTCTTAATTGACGTCTCATTTCAGGGGTCAGGCAGCCTATCAGCCTTATGTAAAATAATACACAGATAAATGTGAATGCAAACACAGACACAAACTTTCTATGCAAACATATTTTAAATAGCTAATAAAATTGTACATTCCTCCCTTCAAGTCAAGCTTCATTAAAATTAAACTACAGCAAAATCAGGTCAGAATCTGTTTTGGTTGGACTAAGACTTTGGACCACTTCAACATTCCATGGTGGCCCCAGAAAGGTTCCAGCGCACTGCCTTAGGATTATGTAATATATGCAGATCATGAATTATAGTTATTATGGTGTGCAGTTTCTTAATGCCATGTTTTATATGGTTTGTGTTTATCTGGCAAGAGCCGCTCTTCCTGTGGCACACAGTCTGCACAAGGAGGCTCTCCAGTACAGCTGCACTGACAGTCTAGCAGAACCCGATGGGACGTCAGAACAGCTTTACACCATGTGCGTTTTTTGCTCCCCTTCTTAAATAAAGGACGTGTGCTTAAGAAAGCCCATCCATCCTGAATATGATTTAACACAGCCTAGGTATTCTTGACCACATTTTTTTCCCAAGCAAAGAATGTTGAGGGTGTTTGCTTGTTTTGTTGACTGGTATCTTCATACAGCACACAGTCAACGCAGTCCAGCTCCTGACAGAGGGCAGAGTTTATGGGAGCTGGAGGAAAGTCTGGCCTGAGTTAGTGTCAAGTCACGGAGAAGAGAGCAGTTCCATGGCTCTGGTAGAGAGTTTACTGCCAGATCTGTACGGCCTCGGCAGCCACAAAGAACTAATCTACTCTCAACTCAACACTGATGCTGCTGGAGCCGATTCCCATGCTTCAATAAGTTCAAGTCCTCACACACACACTCGTACTGCGAACATGTTCACTGGGCAGAGAAGTGGAGTAAGCTGCCAGCTGAGTAAATGAGCACATGATGCATATGTGTGTGTGTGTGTGGTTTTCATTGTCATACTAACATAATGGTCCCTCTGGTGTGCAGTGTGTGCAAGGTTCACCATTATCTGCTGAGATACAGTTAACTCTGAAAATTCCCACTCAAAGGTAGCAAAGTGAAAGTTGCAACATGTGACTAATATGGGGTCCGTCCCATACTAGAAATTTGTACTTTGTTTTTTAAATTTATATAAATTACACCAGGGGGGAAGTTGTGTGTACTCACTCATACCACCTACAATCTCTTTCTGTACCAAGACTCAAACACAAAACCTTTGGGTTACTAGTCTAACTCTCTAACCATTATGGCCCATTTACATGAGGTGTTGGTATTAATGCTTGGTAACCAATCACATCCAGCTTGAACAGGGTAAAAAAGGCACAGAAGTAGTAGTATATAAAAATATATATAAAGACTGATCGTAAAGAACGCTATTTCAAAGTCCCTTTTAGGCAAGTCATTTTACTCGATGGCCATCTTTGAAATGCCTCTCAGGCAGTATGCTCGGGCATTCTGTTTGAATGGGGAAACATCAAACTCTCCAAAACTGTTGGCCAAGCTCAAGATTACTTTACATATTTGTAACCACCAAAAAATTAAACCACAACCATCTTATGATTTTCATTTCTAAGCGTTCAAATCAAACAAAATCAGCTTTTTTTGTCAGGGTGCCCATGCTAATACGCATGCTCACTCGAAAGGAACGAGATCACAACGCAGACCACATTCATGGCTGTTCAACACATTAGATCACGCTGCTCTTCTGAAGTTCACAACTTGGTCTTGATGGCAAATCTCTTCCAGAAATGACAGCGACTCTTTGTTTATAGGCGTTTGAGTAGATGCTTACAAGGGATGTGCGTTTGACAGGACAGACTGTACCTCGCATTCTTTTTATTCGGATTACAAAACCAAAAACCCTCTCTTATCAAGTGCACTTGGTTCAATTGAAAGCACATATTTGAAGCTTTATGTGGATATATTTCTTATGTCTGTGAAGCAAGTATTCGCTGAGATTCCAGTGCGTTTGTTGACCATTAAACTGTCGTAAGTACACACGTCTGGTCCGAGCTGCTCCCCCTGAAAAAACATCAGTCTATAGCGATCAATGATTATCTCCTGTACTAGCAGACGGGTCTTCATTCACCAGATTGACTGTTACACTTTTCCTCATTCAAAACTATATAAGACATGTCTTGTATATTCTATAGTCTTTGGCTATTTTCTGGTGTTGCACAAACATGATTGGCTAGTGTCTGTACTAGTATTTGCATAAGGCAATCTGATTGCATGACACTCGAAAAGTTAAATATTTTTCAACTTATGCCTTGAGCAACAGATCAAATGCTACTGGACAAACCCACTATTTAAAAGTAAATAAAAGGCATTAATGGCGACACAACAAGCTCTGCATCCCTTTTCAAACTTTTTTAGTGATCTGGAAAAGATGAAGTAAAAAAGTGGTAGCCAAGAGAAGCTTCTCTTACCTTTTCTCCACTGTGGTTCCTCTGTGGCGGAGGAGCGAGAGTGAGAGGCGGTGAGCAGGTGCTGCTGTTGGCCAGAGGCGGCGCTGTTTCCGGGCAGTTCTCTGACATCAGGCTGGGCTCCTGCTTCACTAGAATGGCTGTGAGATCCTGACTAAATGACCACATTGCTTCTGAATCTGAGGAGAGAAATAACACAATGAAAAATACTGATGTTTGTTACATTTTAAAGTTTTGTTTTATTTTTAGTGAACTGATTTAAGTGTTTTATTTTGGGAATGACATATAGAATGATAATACTTAAGGCTAGCTATGACCACTTTTGATTATATATATATTAAAAATGGACCAGGTGTAAACAGGGCCAAAGGCACAAGATTATAACTTCAATAGCACAATGAGGGATATTATCAGAAAAGTGATGACTTTCACACTCCATGCCTCATGGAGAGGGGTTTCATATGGAGGCTGTTATGATGCAGGTGAGGGGGACAGACTCAGTTAATGACCAGAAGGTTAAAGCAAAGCAGCCTCTCTTTATACTGTTAACACAAAAGCCTGTGGGGTGGGAGGAGGGCAGGTGAGAGATTAGGGTGGCTTGAGAACAGCTCGACATGTCTGGACGCTTCAAAGCAGAGGAAAGGACTGCATAAAGTGAGAGCCCTCGTTATCACATCGCCCTCGGTAGCATTTGTGTGCAGACTCCACGGCAGGATCGATAAAACATTATGCGGCCTTGTAAAAGATGGATGGCAGGTTTTTCATGTTAGCCCTCTGTTAGGGAAGGACATCAGCAGGAGTCTGATTACAACAGGAGAGCAAAGCTCTTTAGGAGTTCTACTGTTCAGTGGAGAGCGCTGGATTTTATACTTCAGAGCTCTGTGTCTGTAGGGAACCTCTGTAAAAAAGCCCAAACCATCAGTTCAGAACAGCAGATTAGACCAGAAGAGTCTGTCCTTCACCAGGGTGCAAAGCAAACACACTCTTCTCTATTGTGAATAAGGGATTAGTCTCCTTTACAGCTTTTTCAAAATTGATAAGAACAGACTTCTTTATAGATCAGAGGTGTCAACTCAGTCTCATGGATCTATGATGAATCTCTTACTCACACCTTCATTCTCTCTACATACATTAAAACAAAGGTGTATAGACATCCCTGCTAAAAAGGCACATTTACTTAAGCACCAAAATAGCACTAAGTATTAGAAAACCAACCTGGAAAGACTAGTAGACCAGCAAGCATTGCAAAACTGCAGTGGAGAAGCAATTCAACTAGGAAACTTTTTCTGGATAGTCTAGTCGAACTATGTGTCAGTTACTGTTTCTGGCCTACAACTTGGAAAGTTTAGCTTCAACTAGCTCCAACATATTAGCCTGGACTTCTCCAGCGAGTCATGAAGACCTCGATTAGCTGCTTTAACTAATGAGGGTTACAGCTAAACTATGCAGGACAGTGGCCCTCTAGGAACAAGTTCAGACCCCTAATCTAGGATCTAAAGACACCATATGGGGATCAAAATCGAAAACCAATTTAAACGTTTGGATCTTGAAAACTAAAGCCGATGGCAATGATGTTATCCTTCACTTCTGGTAAGTTCTTTTCAATGCCATGTAATCTCTTTAATCTGACTAAAATCAGACCACTCTAAGTCAGACTAACAGATCAGAGTAAACGGACTTCAATTGGCTCAGGAAATGTGCACTTGTTCTAAAAGATGGAAGTAAAGTAAGGCATATTGTGTCAGGTATAAACAGACTTCAGATTCGGCTTAAGTTTAATTATAACTGTACATATTCTCGTTCATCAGAAGCTTGGCTTATAGGAATGTATTTAATAATATGTACAAAGGCTACATTTACATGCAAATCTCTGAAGTCCCACCTTATATTCTACAGAAGCTGCTGCCCATAGGGCACTGTAAGGCTTTGATCTCTCTCAGGACAGCAGGTATCATAATGAGGCGACTCCAGGCCGATGGAGACGGAAGAGCGATGCTCATTAGCAGGTTTAAAGTTACTGCAGAGCAACAGGAGACGAAGTAGTGAACCAGTCAGTGCTTACTTTAAGTGCCCCCTAAAGTTGCTCATGGTCTTTATAGGGGCAGGTTTATGGGTCACACACTACTGAAACACCTGAACTCATTGTGGTCATCTAAAATCCCTACACTCCCAATGAGCAAAAATTGTTGCTATAGGTGTACAAGAGCTGCTGCTACGTTAGCATCAGTAGGACATCTTTGTACACATTTATCTCAAAATACACACATGAATCAGTTAATAGACTGTATAAATACATAGGGTATAACTTATCAAGGATGGTGGTGGGATTTACCTGTCTTAGCTCTTCCATATCCTCTACTTCTAGTTCTCAATTAGATGTATTTCCCATGTTCAACATTTGTTACATGTATCACAGATTCTTCTTTTAAATAGAGAAATACTGTGCGGTAATATCACATATTTTGTGCATTCTATCAATGGCAATTCAAACAGTTAGTTTTACAAGTTATCCAAATTTATGAAAGGAGGCGAGAGTATCTGATGTCAGCACAACGACTGTCCTTGCCATCACTTTTTCATTGGATTAAATGAATAACACATTATTTAAACAGTTTAAATTTCTTCAATAAAAATTTGATGAGGATCATGCGCAACAAACTTCCATGTTCTGTAATCACTTCCAGCTCAGCTAAATATGGCAATGTTTTACTCGATCAAAAGAGCTACCAAAGATGAGCAGAGCAATGCAATGTCCCTTACATATGCAGACTGACATCAATAACCCCTCACAAACATCTGGAGATTACTATTGAATAAAACAACAATAAAAAGAGCTGGCAAAGATCGGGTGCTTTCATATCTGTGGATCAGTTCATTTGGTCCAGACTCCAGACCAAGGGCAACAAATAATACATTTTCAATGTTACTTTACATACCACACCGATTGATTTGGTCCGAACCAGTTGAAAAGAACCCAAATGCAGTCATGTGACAAAATCCAACTCACTCATTGGCCGGATTTTATTGAACGCATTTCCTAAACTGCTTTTCGATTTTTCAGATTTAATGTGCAAGAAAATGCCAATGGAACTCTCGCAAGTAAACAAACCGGCAGGCACAAAATGTCGCTTTTTACTATGGAGGGACGACTGCGCTGGCTGATTGTATCCTTGCTCATAGTATACTATATAGTTTGTATACATAACTTTAGACCAGGGGTGCCCAAACTTTTTCTTATGAAGGGCCAAAAAGCAAACTTGGGGGCTGTGGGCCGAAGGTAAATATAGCAAACTGTATTACATTAAAGTTGTCATGGGTAATTAATAATATTTAAAAATAACTGTAAATCATTCCTTTATATTACTAATGCATTAGTTTTAATAATACATTTATAACAGTAAAAACAAAAACAATTACATTTATAACAGAATGGAGTTCAATGCTGAATGCGCGAGTCAAGCTGTGCCTGTTTTTGCCTTGATTTGATGTCTTAGGCATTGTTCTCTGTCCATAGATTAACAGTATTTACACTATTTTTAAAAATCTGATTAATTTAAAACATGTAATTGAAACATTTAAAATATATATATATATATATTTTTTTTTTTTTGCTTTTTTTGTAGCTCAACAATAAAACAATCAAAAAAGCTATGTTATATTAGAAATGACAAACTCAGTTAAAGGGATTTGCCTCAAACCCTCCCATTAGTCTCTTCTCAGACCTAGTTTGGGCATCTCTGCTTTAAACAAACTATACATTTTGAGATCTATGGCTGTGGCTGGAAAACAATGTTTTAATGCATTGCAAACAGTGAAGGTGCATTGCAAGTTTTAACTAAACTGTAACTTGGTCATCTTCTGGAAATATTACCAACGATCCATCAGCTAATGTTTTTTGCCTCTCTTCCTCTCTCTGGCAAAAAATTGTTGGTAAAGCGCTGTCAACAAATATTTTTCCTCCACACCCCATAGGATAGGACAGTGTATCAGACTACGGCAGCTGAACTAGTCCAAAAATGCACAGTACTTTTTGGGTCTGTTTTAGTTCGGATCATGTTCTCACCATAAGCTAACCACTTCAGGGTTTAATTGAAAGCGTACCAAGACCACCAAGACCACCTCCTCAAGCAGGGGGTAAATCTCAAGTGCGATTGCTAAATTCACACCTGCCCAAATGACCAAGAGGGAAAACGAACTCTAGAGCGATTCAACCAAATTAAATAAAGCAGGTGTGAAAACATCCAATTATGTTTTTGAAAGTATGTATCAGGCAAGCAGATGCAATGATAACAATTTTAAGTTGTTGTTTTTTTCATCAAAGCTTAATATGACAACCTTATTTTTTTTAACAAATCACACTCTGCTGATATGTTTCTTTGGATTGTACCTCAATAGCACAAGTGCTGCTGTATCACTAAAAGTACACACATTTGAAAAATTCTATGACAGAAACTCAGTTCTTTGAGCTAGAAGACAATGAGAATGAAACAACAGCATAAATGGATCCAGAAAAACCTTTGGTTTGGATGTTGAGAGCAGTACAGTCTGGATAAAACGGATCAAAAAATCCTGCAGTACCTCCATGCTTTTTTAAGGATTTGTTGATTTAAAGCCTGACTGGAAAGAAGCAGCAGTCTGCGCACACACTCTCCTCGCATAGTCATCCCAAGTTCAGGATGATGCAACTCTCTGGGCCACCCCCACCAAATTCTCCATCCCAAGCTGGAAACCAGATCCTTTTTTTATTTTATAGATGTCTACAGTTCCCTGGCCTGATCGTGGCGTATGTGAGAAAGAGAGAGACAGACGGATGAACTGACAGAAAGAGCGAGCGAGTGTGAGTGTTGGCTGTCTTCCTGGAATTCCCAGCTTCCAATGCAAGACTGAGCTCTTGGCTTGAGCTTCGTCAAGGAACCCTGTGCTGCACGGGTGCTTCGGGAGATAAGGAGGAGAGATGCAAAGAAAAGAAAGAGACAGAGGAAAAAGAGAAAACAAAGCTGTTGACTGATGATCCTTTGAACTGTCTGAACTAGGCTTTATAAGCTTCCACAGATAATCTAACAAGTTTTTGTGTGTGTGTGTGTGTGTGTGTGTGTGTGTGTGTGTGTGTGTGTGTGTGTGTGTGTGTGTGTGTGTGTGTGTGTGTGTGTGTGTGTGTGTGTGTGTGTGTGTGTTTGTGTGGATGGATGGCAGGAAAGTAGAAGCATAAATAGAGTATGTTGGTCACTAACCTGCATCGTCGTCTGATTTGATGGGTATGGAGGGGGATTGTGGGGCAGAGTCCTCGCTGAGAGAGTAACTGTGTTCTGCCTGGATGTCAGGGTTTGGAGGGTCCAGATCCATATCCAGCAACGGGTTCCTCTCCGCCAACAGATGATCATCGAAAAAACTGTTGAAAAGGTCATTGGAGAAGTCCTCCATCTGCTCTGAGAAGTGCTGGAGAGAGACCACAAAGACCTTTTTTATTTTTTTGGAAATGAATTAGTTGGTATGGTAGCAAACGGATACATTTTCAGAATGATATGTGCTAATATTAATAGTTTTGATTGCTTTATTCAGTTGGTCTAAACTTTAAAAAGATTATAATTAGCTGGATTTGTGTTTATCAATATCAGTCATTCAGAATTTTGACTGAATTAAAAAAAAAACTTTCATTTAAGGATTTTTAAGTAGGTTTGTGCAGACTACTGTATATATTTTGTCTTATTAAGTAAGCCTAAGCAAGAAAAGTGTTCAACTTACTGTATGTATTTTTGCTCTTTTAGTCTTTTTTTATCTGCCATCTTTTTACAGTGTTATATAATTATATATTTAAGACCAGCAACCGCTTTTGCTAATTATAACTATTCTAACAAGAATCTAATTGACATTAAAAAGAATGAAAAATGGCTTTTAAAAAGGCTATCATTTGTTTAAAAAAAAAAAAAAGCTGTCAGTCAGATAAAACAATACTTATATCACATATTAATATCACATTTAAAACTGACAGTAAACACAGAGTACAGCCCATTTTGAAAATGAATATTTGTATCCATTTCTCAGTGTATTGGTGCAATGTATGTTGGTGCATTTAAACAAAACAGATTTATTAAATAGATACATTTATTAAAATTATATTTTAGTAACCAAACATGTTAAGATATTGAAAGATCATAGAATTAAATTCAAGCAAAATATTGCAAAGAAAAATTACAAACTACAAAATTTCAACAACATTTTTTTGCTTCTCGTGATTTTATTTTTAAAATAATATTTTTCTATAACATATACATTTGGGTGTACGGTTTTTGGACCGTTATCGTAAGTTATTTGTTAGATAAGCTCCAGATTTGTCTTCAGTACTGAATAATCTAATGTATTTGCAGAAATTTAATAATGTATATCTTCCTATTAAAAATGCGAATTTAAAAGAGAGATTTTTGAGGGGTGTACTCATATATGGTGAGCACTGTATTAGGAAAATATTTATTATTGAAAATGTTCAAGAATTCTTGTCTGTCTACTCATCACAATCTTATTCCACATAAATAATAACAATAAATGTTTCTTGAGCAGCAAATCACCATATTAGAATGATTTTTTGCAGGGTCATAACACTAATAATCCTAAATAAACTAAAGTAATGGCTGCTGAAAATTCAGCTTTACAATCACATGCAAATTACACATGTAGCATCAATTTAAAACCAGCTATTTCAAATGAGATAAATATTTTTTTCCCATTTCTGATTTTGATGTTTACATTTTTGCAACATGTCACTGATGTTATTATTATTGCAAAATAATATGTATATAAATGTATTACTAATATTTAACATGAACACTACCGGTCAAAATTTGGGGTTTTAAAATAAGCTTCTCCTGCTCACAAAGGCTGCATTTATTTAGTCAAAAATACAGTACAAATTGTGAAATGTTATTGCACTATAAAATAACTGTTCAAAAGTAGTTTATCATTTAATTTAATAAATCATTCCAGTACTTTTAATGATGATTTTTCAGCTTAATTACTTCAGTCTTCAGTCACATGACCCTTTAGAAATTCCTCTAATATTAATTCTTTATTTTTATTATTATTATTTTTATTATTAGTAAAAGTAATAAAAGCAATAATGACTGGAGTAATAATTCAAACTACATACAATAAGAAATCAGTTACAGTATTTAAAAATTTTATAAATATTTAACAATTTTACATTTTTTACATTTAATAAATGCCGCCTTAAAAAATACATGAGAAAAAAAAACTGAGCCCCAAACTTTTGACCAATAGTGTATGTACATATTTGTAATTTAAATTGTTAATATGGTTAATATTAATAAACATCAAATTGTTATACTGTATGGGAAATATTAAACTTAATGGACATACTGTAAAAAGATTTCTTTCAAAATCTTCCCAACCCCAATTATTTGAGAAGTATTAAATGTACTACCAAGTAATGCGAGAACAAATAATCCTTTGTTAATTCATCCCACTCCCTGCTCTTGTTATTATAAGCAAAGATCAACTCAAATAATTTCTTGAGGTGATAATCTTACAATCAGCATTTTTTACAATGAGCATTAGATATAGTTTTAAAATTCAGATACACACTGAAATCTTCTTCTGTGTTTTGCCCCAAGGTGTGTGCTTGTCTAAAATTTGGTGGATCAGAAGATAGACATGCATTCTTCTATGCATGAGTGCTTTAAAGCATGTCGTCACAGACTGAACTCACTCGTGCACTCACTTGAACGTGTGTCGCATCTCCGCATGTGTGTTTGCCCAGAAAGGGTGTGACAGAGGTGTGAGAGGACCTGATCTTGTTTACATCCTGGTGAATGGGGACAGGTGTGTGAAAGACACACCTTTAGAGCAATGAACATATAAACCAGCCACTATACACATACTGTCACACATACGCACACGTGAATACATCCACACTCCCTCCACCTGTGTGAGTTCCCACATAAACTGCAACCCACCGCAATACTTCTGAGAAGAGAGGACTACTGAGAAAACTGTGCTGTTGTAAATGTTTGCTCCTGCTGTCCCCCATCTACCAAACAGAGGCTCTAAAATAACCATATCTCAACTGATATTATGGAGGAAGTATTAGACTCTTCAAAATAATGATTCTTCATTAGGATTAAAGAACTTTCAACACCAATGGAAACATGTCAACGCAAAAGGTTAAACAACTCACTCATAAACACTTCACTTCCTTCATTACAGGATGAATCTATACTTGTGAATGAGTCTTTTCAGTGCACGATTTAGTGACTTCTTCATAAAGGCTTCATTTGATTCACTAGATGAATCAGTATTAAATTACTTTCAAAAAGTCATTTTGCTTGAGCACTATTGTAGATACTGTATTGGTTTTTGTGTGATAATCTGAATGTTTGTAAGGGCTGCTATACACCAAGGTGATACCAAACAACTAACCCTCGCATTAGGCTCAAGTCTGGGTCTGTCTGCATCAAAAAGTTGAGCGTGAACACACCAAATGGAAGGGAGCCAAGTGATTCAAGAGTTTGCGCTCTGCACCCGTGTAGGTGGATGTGTCTTTTCCACACCACAGGGGGCAATATCCGTTATCTCACTCAGAACATGAAACCAGGGCTGCGTCCGAAACCGCCAACTACTCAGTAGGTACTGCATTTTAATTTAAACATACTTGGCCGTTACAGTATGAAAGTGAAAAGTATGAATGGAATTCGGACGTACAACATCCGCCATTTTGTCATGGTCACGTGACCTACTTGGGTCAGTTGCGTCGCTTTACTCCCATTCATGAATTTGCTCACGGGGCATCATGGGATAGCGCAGCATGTATGGGATGCTCACTTCAGAATCTCGCCAGAAGTAGTTCAAGAGTTCACACTTAGCTCATGATTTATACATAACTTGTTTGGCATGCTGTCCCGGGAGAGAGCCCTGAGCTCAAGGGATCCTCGAGCCCAGGGCTCCCCCCCTTTTGCAGGGCGAGTGGAGATTGAGCTCAGGTCTATCTCAAACTCCCCCGCTGCTGAGGCCAAGGCGAACTTCCTGAGTAAGACATTATAAAAAAGGTTTAGGCTTGTTTTATCTATAATATAGAGCACATTTGGATGGTGGGAGGAAACCGGGGAACCCGGGGGAAACCCACGCGGACACGGGGAGAACATGCAAACTCCACACAGAAATACCAGATGGCTCAGCGAGGACCCAACACCATTGGTATTCTTGCTGTGAGGCAACAGTGCTAGTCACTGGGCCACCGTGCCGACCATTCTGGATAAAGGAGGAAGAAGGGGAGGAGGGGGGGGTTTCTTCCAGACGAAGATAGTTGTAGAAAGGAAATGAGGATATATATAGTGGTTTGGGATCCTTTGATTGGAGGATCATAATTAGTTAATGTGGACCAGCTGGGTAAATCATGAGCACATGCTCCTTTCGAAATTAGTTTAAAACTAAACTTCACTAAGTCATCCGGGTACTTCTCGCAAACTGACTTTTGAATTCTCTGAATTCGGACATACTACTTGGCTCACATACGGATTTTATTGTTCTATATAGTATAGAAGTATGCAGTTTCGGACGCAGCCCAGAACTTCTGACACACACGTGCAAAGCATTAAAAAGCAGCATTTAGTGTTTGTAATTGTCACACTAAAAAAAAAAAAAACCTAATGGTTGAGTTTAACAATTTGGTGCTTTATTGGGTTATTTTTAACCTTTATTAGGTTATTCATTAAAAACTCAACCAGTTGGGTTAAATATGTGGTGTTTTGTTGGGTTATTTTTAACCTTTATTAGGTTATTTATATAATAACTCAACCAGGTGGGTTACAATTTTGAATTTAAACAGTCAACTGGTTGTTTTTGCGTTATAAAGTTTCTTTAAGCTCTAACGCAATAATATTGTAGTTATTTTTTTATCAAATTACCCCTCCGTGTCGTGTTTTTATATCCGTTTCTCCAGCACTGTTAATTATTGACGATACAAACGTGCGCTTTATAGCCGATCTATATTAAATGGATAAAGCGCTTTCTCTACCTCCCGTGTTCATCTCAGCGCTTTTTTTTTTTTTTTTTTGGAAATGATACTTATATTTGGCATATCCGGCCGGATTCTTACCTTTAGGACCCAGCTGAGACTTTTTTTTATTTGCACAGTCATAATTATAAATATAATTGTAGTAATAGTAATAGTAAATGTAATACCAGAATAGAAAAAAAGAAAAAATTAAAAAATAACCCAATGCATTGGGATAAATTATATAACCCTATGCATAGGGTTAAAAAAAACAATATTTGGGAAGGTGCTATAATAACCTATAGTTGGATTATATGTTGGGGTATTTTTAACCCAACTGTTTTAACAGAGCACTCACCACTGAGAGATTCGTTCCTGCAAATGTCTGATAATCTAATAATCTATATCATTTACACATATTGTGTTCCTTTTT